AAGTTTTATACAGAGATTTTGGTCTCAAAAACTAACTTTTAGTTAAAGATTCTTAATAAATGGTTCACATTTAATCTTGTAAGTGAAATTTAATAAAAAAAAATGAAATCAAATGTTATTTCTCTTAATAGGATTGTAAATTTCATGGTGATCAAAAATATAATAAATAACACGACTCAGTTTGTAAAATTAATCTTAATATTATAATTGTAATGTTGTCTTAAATCTGGAAACTTTGTAATAAGTTATGACAGGATTATTCCAGAAAATGTTGGCGACCCCTGTCCTCGGACGGATCCCTTGTCTGCGGACGCAGTCCCAGGTCCATTCCACCCCGTATATAAAGCGTCGCGGCACACAATCTGCAGTAGTACACCTGTCACTTGCGCAACATGAAGTACTTCGTTGTATTCGCCATTTGCCTCGTCGCCGTACAGGTTTGATGTTTTTTTTTTTAACTGGCGTTCTATTTTCAAAAATCCTTATGATGTTTCGGTGCGTTCCATTTTCAAAAAGCCTTTTGTTGTTTCGTTTCATCCTATTTTTTTAATACTATAATCTCTAATATTAGAATTTGTTAATATACTCGAAATATTAATATGTAAAGTTCCAAAGAATATTTTAAAAAAATTGTTATTCAAAGGACTATTCAAAGCTCAACAATAAAATGTAAACAACATTTTTGTTTTTCATCATTGGGTTGTAATAACCAGTTTTTGTGTCAATACTTTTATTTTATTCGTTACCTTTTTATTTGAGCTTACTACATATGTACTTGCTATGACCGGTTAGCATTAATGATCATCACACAATTCGCTCTTAGTTATTTATTTCCGTTTTATTAAGTTATTTTTTAGATAGTTTAAAATTCTTAATTAAAAACTTAAAATATTGCATTTTCTGAACGTTGGTTTCTGAGACAAAAATCTCTTTATAAAACATAAAGACATCTCTGTCATTCCCTTTAACAAAACGGAGATAACAATATTTTTTAAACGGGGATTTTGAGCTCAGAAACCGACGGTCAATGAAATAACATAATATTTACACTAATTTAAAGATACGTTTACAGTGAATTAGGTAGAGCAATTACATATTTCGACGAAAATATGTTTCTAATTTAAATTTATTCCAGGCGCTAACAGATGAACAGAAGGAAAAGCTAAAGAAGCACAGGAGCGAGTGCCTCGCAGAGTCCAAGGCTGTTGAGGAACAGGTCGACAAACTGAAGACCGGAGACTTTACTGTAAGTCAACATTTTTTATACTCGCCCCGACTAAAATAATTTCTTACTTAAAAAGAACTCCATAAAGAAATAATAATAGAAAAATCTGCAAGAGAAATATAGATTAAAGAATTAAATTAATACAAAGGAAAAGGATTGGTTCGTGATAGACAGAGCAACCTAGTACAGGAGCCAAGGCTCTAACCAAAATGAAGATAAAAAGTGATTATTTATTTATTAGCCTTCAATGGAAATTTTGAGAGCTAGAGTTCCATCGTAGAGTTTTGACATTTGTGCTGCAGTTTCTGTTAAATCACGAAGAGCTTATTTACCTTTATTTTTACTACATAAATTATTATGTATTTGATCATTTACTTTGTATATAGAATGAGAATGATGATCTGAAGAAGTACACTCTCTGCCTGATGGTGAAGTCGGAGCTGATGACTAAGGATGGGAAGTTCAAGAAAGACGTCGCCCTCGCTAAGGTTCCTAACGCAGGTAAATATAATGGTAATACAGCGATTATGGTAAAAGCTAGCGACTGCAACGTCTGGTTCACGAATGGATCTCGCCCTCACAAATACCGCGACCACACAGAAGTCAGACATGTAGTCGCAGCAATTCCGCGTACAGACTAATGAGGGCATAACGTAGACCTAATTCTCATTCCTTATAAGAAACGGGTGGTAAGGGGAAGTTCATTTATTTCGAAATGAAAATATTGTCGTTTTGTTCGTATTACTCTGCCAATTAAAGGTTGGCAACGCATCTGCAATGTGGCCATTTTGTTTGCTACCTTAAAATAAAAAAAATGAAAGTGAAAATAAAACATTTCTTTTCTTAAACAATGCCAACGTTGTCCATTGTAATTACGATTATCGCTTTATCCAATGCACTCAATGAAGTTCTTAGTGTAACAATAGTTCATAATAAAATTAACAAAACGCACAAAATGTACAGAGATGCCAATTAAAAAGAACTACGAAACAATACTTTATATTGTAACGACTCGTTGGTTATCTGGTCCACCTTATTTTACAAAAATAAGAGACATAATTGTAAATAGTGCTATAACTAAACAGTCCAAAAAGCCGACGTTTATGCATCTAACATAAATGTGAAACAGGCAAGAGAGTTCTAATTTTAAAAATGTTTGTTACAGCTGACAAACCTACAGTAGAGAAGCTGATCGACGCCTGCCTCGCTAACAAGGGCAGCACACCGCAACAAAATGCGTGGAACTACGTCAAATGCTACCATGAGAAAGACCCCAAGCATTCCATCCTTATCTAAACTAAATTGTTACTGGAAACAAACACTGCCATGGATCTGAATATCTAACAACGATTGTAATGTTACCAAAAGTTGTGTTGTCTCGTTTATCAGTATTGTAATTTGACATGAATTCTCCATTTGTAATCCATCATTCATCTGCAGTGTCAATAAAGTGTGTTTATCAAAATTATGTCTTACATTCTTTGATCATCGTTGAAATGCCATCCATGACTTTGGAACTTAGTACATTGTTCATTATGACAACGACTACTTCGTTTTGTTTTTAACTTTATTCAATTATTAATTAAGTATATTTCATGTTATGATACTAATGGAAAGAATAGGAATCAGTATTAGTCCTAAAATCACTTTGTCTTACTGAAAATAACTTAGCACAGTCGCAAGATACAAATTAGCAGGAAGAGAAAATGCACCAAGCAGATAAATATCTGCTATTTTTAAACTGATTTACAATAGTTCTTATACCAAGAACTATCGCAAGGATTGGTGCATCGAGCAGATGAATATACGACGAGAGCTTTATTGATTGTTTTCATCATAGGAACTTGAAGACATGTAAGCTGTTCCTAAGTAAACGCTTCAAAGTATCTAAGTGATGTATTCAAGATGGATATTCTATAATCACTAGCTGTCGCCCGCGACTCCGTCCGCGCGGGATTAAAAATAGATGTTGGCCGATTCTCAACCTTTTTTTTTTCAGAGGGGAATGCTTTATGCATACTCCGCGCCCCGAGGGGGGGGGGACGCGGTAGTTATGTGGGATTCTCCTCCATAGCGGAGGCAACCCACTAAACCCCTCTGTTCCTCCAACGCATCGGGACGGGACTACGGGCACGCTTTCGCTCTCGTCCGCGGCCCGATTCTCAGACCTACTCAATATGCTCACAAAACTTCATGAGAATCAGTCAAGCCGTTTCGGAGGAGTGTGGGTACGAAAAATGTGACACGAGAATTTTATATATAAGATAAAATATACTATGAATAATGCAATAATAATTTTACCTGTTGTCATTGTTTGTAAACCGAAACATGATATATTGAAGTTTTATAACAATAAAAAAAACTTAAACATATAAGAAAAAGCACTACATGATTCATACTTATTCTACACAATATCAACAAAGATAAAATTCGGCTTTGTCTAACATTAACTAGTATGAACCGACAAAAACCTGTCCAATGATGAGTCATAAAAGTAATTGAACTAAAGATCTACTTTATTTACTTTAACAAACGTGAAGTAGACTGTGGAGCGTCGGTGGCTCAGGGGTTAAGCACTTGACTTGCAATCTGCAGGTCCTGGGTTCGAATCCCGCCATGTACCAATGTGTTTTTCTATTTCCGATTTGACATATGTACATTTATGCGACGTTCTTACCTTGAAGGAAAACATCGTGATGCAACCTGCACATATCTGAGAAGAAATTCAAAGATACCTGAGAAGTCAAACAACCCGCACTTGGCTTGTCTACTATGGCCTAGTCAAGTACGTATAGTGAGCTGATGATGATGATGATGAGGTAGACTGTTGGATATAAATGATAACGACCTTGACGTAGACAGGGCCGGCGTAAGGGCGCGGTTGGGCGATCGCCCAGAGCACTGGACAAAAAGGCGCCACAAGTCTGCGAATTACACGATCTCACATAACCCTGTTAACAAAGGCATATTAAAAAAAGGAGGCCGTAAAAATATCGCCCACGGTAGCAAATTGCCAGGAACACAAAGACAGAATGTAAGAGAAAGACGCTCTAACTTCGGAGATGTACAGGAGGAAAAGAGAAGAAATATGTTCTCACCAGATTTGCTGAAATGCAGAACTTTAACGTTATTACACTTTGTTGGTCTACTTTTCTTTTGACTTGAGTTTAAGGACATCTTTCTGATGTGTGGCAACCGACACATCTTTAATACTGAACATCAAGAATAGATAAATGTCGAAAGTCATTTTAAAATCTATCGCAGTAGATTTATATTGTAAGGGAGATACCACACGGGCGGCGCAACGCGACGTTTGTGTCGCTGCGGTTTGTTACATTCGGAACTATTTGTGGTACAACACAACTTATAATTTTCGTACCTTTTAATTCTAACTCTGTCTAAAGATTGATTACGATTCATTAAGATTTGCGTTTCATCATTTCAATTATTTGTATAGTACTGACTGATTCGTGGTCCTCAGTCGTCTTGATATTTAATCAAATCTAATTAGCGACTTTGCACCGACCGTGTGGCATTACCCTTAAGTAAATGACCTACAACTATTGTTCAAATGATAGTAGCAATATAGTACGCGCTGCTTTCAAAACATTCGCGATAAAACTAAGGAAGTGTATTATGGTTGCTTGAATAATAAAAAAATTATACAATGACCACAATTATTTATTAATTATCGATAACTCATAACATAATACATAGTTTAGATATATATAAAGAACATATTAACAGACCAACTCAATTGTTCTTTACACTCATATCTTGTAGGTGGTGATACTGTGATTATCAAAATGCAAATCAGTGCTATTTTAATCTGTTTATTAGTGATTCAGGTATTTAGTTATTATTTAGTCAAAAAAGTTTCTAATCTTACTAATATAAATGTAAATGTTTAGATGAAATTTTAGATAGTTAGATGATTGTTTGTTACAAGATATCTCTGGAAATCCTGATCAGATCTCCCAGAAATTTGTCATAGATATAGAACAGAGTCACCCCTAACTTAGGGTAGGCTCCGAGCCCCTCGGTGGGGAGGTATAGTGAGCTGATGATGATGATGATGATAGAATAGAGTCTGAAAGAACACATAGGCTACTATGTTTTTATTCCATGCGGAAGGAGTCGCGGTCGACCGCTAGTGTAGCGTAAACCATACATGAAGCGATTACTAGGAAATAGAGGTTAATCAAATCCATTCTGATTGGATTAACCGGCTTCTGAATGTTAGTTTCTTTAATTAGTTCAATTTCAAAGAGTTATCTGTTTATAGGGTTCACAAGTCCACGCGACCTTCAAACGGGGTATCCTAGAATGCGTTGAGGAGTCGAAAGTCAGCCCTCAATTGGTTCTCCAGGTGACATCAGGCAACTGGGATGTTGTGAGTAGCTATTTAGAAACTGTTAAGTACAACTGCAAATAGCAATATTAATTTATGTTAGGAAGAAAATCGGGCAGTGTGCCGGTGTATCGGCGCAACACTAGCCTTATTAAAATGTTGACGTTTATGTTCCATCACTAATCATTCTGACATTTGACTTTGTAGCGAGAGTCTAGAACTAATTAGCAGTATAATTGATGTATTAAATTCAAACATATCATTTTCATTATAGAGAGAAGATTATCGATTGAAAGTATGGGCTTTATGTTTACTCCTTAAAGCTAAGATGATGTCTAAAGACGGCGTCTTCCATTTAGATGTTGCTCTTACTGGAGTTCCTGAAAATGGTAAGTTAGTAAGCCATGTACTCTTATGGTAGACGACGTTTAGGGTTAACACCCATCAACTCCTCCACGTCTCCGATGGAGCAGAATAAAAATATTAAATTGCGACACCCTTTCTTGTTTACATGGGTGGATGAGGGGAGTAATGCGCGGTAACCTATGTTTTTTACCCAAGAAATTAGGACGAAAGCTTGAAGTAGCATACACACAAGGCAAATTATAATTCTTAAGGTAATTTGCCAGACGCTATTGGCTACTGAATGGGAAGCATCAAGAATTTAATACTTTAATTGTACAACACGTGTACGATAACATGATATTAACGTAACACAATTGTTTGTTGGTTATTGTTACTACACTATTGAAGAACACATTTGAACTATATTCGTAAAAAATATTTTTTTCTTTCAGAGAGACGCACCGTTGACAAAGCTATTGACGATTGTCTGTACAAAACAATCCACAAACCCGAAGAAACAGCTTGGCATTTCCTCAGATGTTATCACAAAAATCATCCAAAATACTCATTTTTGTAGTTTGTTGTAAAAATTATTGTTATCATTTTTATTTATTATTTAACGTTTCTGAATAATTGTTCAATGTTTTTTTTTAATTATTATCGTTGTTAAGAACTTTTTGTTTAAATAAATATTAAAAATCACGCCATCTATCGTTATCCTTCCAAACCTTTATAGGAAGGCGCGAACAAAAGTTTCTTCAATAAATTACTAGATGTCGCGCCAAATACAATCCTTTATTTTTCAATCAATAATTTTAAAAAATCAAAATTAAAAAGGAAACAAAAGTAATAAAATATGAAATAATGAAAAACCTAAATATATTTATCAAACTAGTAGGTACTGTAATTTCCCTCAGATAATAATGTAATCTTACCAATATTATTAATGCGAACTTTTACATGGATGGATGTTTGTTTAAAGATATCTTCAGACCCGCTGAACGGATCTCGATGAATTTTAGCATACATATTGAACATAATCTGGAAGAACACAGGCTACTAATTATGTTTTTTTTAATTCCGTGCGGACGGAGTCGCGGGCGACCGCCCATAGAATTAATATATATATAAGAAAGTCGTGTTAGTTACACTATTTATAACTCAAGAACGGTTTCACCGATATGGTTGAAAATTGGTGAGGAGATAGCTTAGAGCCAGGAGACGGACATAGTTATTAATTTTTTTTTTCGAATTTATGCCTTGAAGAGTAGCTTTTTATTTAACTTACTAATATTATAAATGCAAATGTTTAAATGGATGTGATGTGAATGGATGGGTGTTTGAAGTTACTCTAGAATGGCTGAACGGATCTCGATTGAATTTGGCATACGTATAGAACATAGTCTGAAAGAACACATAGGCTACACTCATTCAGTTCTTATTTTATATATCCACGCGGACGGAGTCGCGGGCGACAGCTAGTTTAGTATAATGCTAGTGATAGCATTTGCGATTGCATTGAAATTGTACTGACCTAGTTATTAGCGTACTATATTTCCTATTTCAATTGCCTTCATTGTTATATTAGCATAATAAAATAATATTCTCCATAGGTTGCGATTCCGTCAACGCAGAATTTAAAAAAAAAGTAAAAAGTATCTCATGTCGTACGCCAAACTATGTTTTATATCTGTGGGAAATTTCGATAAGATGTTTTGAACTGGAGTTATCGAGAAATTATGTATATTATAAGTAACCTATATATTCTAACAGTGCTCTACATCTATACCAAATTGTAAATAGATCAACGCAAACCTTCTATCTTCTAACAAACATCCATCCATACATTCAATTATTTGCATTTATTAGTCTAATTAAATAACAACTTATTATTACTATACTATGGAGAAATCAAAGCTAATTTTTTTTATATCATAAGGTGGCACACGATCGAGCGGCCACCTGAAATAACTGATATAGCGAAGTGACTGTTGCCCATAGACATACGCAATTGCATATGCGTTGCCTACCTTTAATCGACGGAGGAGAGGATGCACAGAAAGAAAATATTTCCCTTTCCATGCATCATATCATCCGGAAAGTCCACTTCAACTTCCCATTCTTTCCTTATAAGAAAAAGGGTGGGAAAGGAAAGACGACTAAATAAGGCCTCCGGGACACACACTCATCAGACGAAACGCGGAATTGCTACCACTTCACGCCTGTCTTCTGTGTTGTGATATTGAAAAGATTAAATGTTACTTTTTATTTTATTTTTTATTTTACATAACAAGTTTTAGCAAATTATGCTATAAATATGCGATTAATAAAAACAATCATATGTTTTGAGTTTTTGTTCATATTTCTTATAAAGATTTCCGTATAATTTCAGTTAATGTTTCTAACTCTTTCTAATCAAAAAGCTTTACAGAAAAACTTCACCGACAACAAAACTACTCTATAATATAACCTTTAGACCCGCCCCTCACTGCCCCCGGATTGACTACTGTTCACAACACAGTAGCATTTATAAAATCTATCCGTCCCTTTCACGCTTATACCGTATCAAGTATCATAGGGCTACCCTATCCTTTTCACACATAGCTAACTGCTACAGATTCCAAACTGTTCTACTAATGTTTTTTATACGTTATTTGCAGTCTGTACTTTAGAGACTTATTTTTTACTATAAAACAATGAAATTTCAACCTTAGCACTTTGTGTTTTAGTTGATATTTCTTTGTTGCATTTTGCGTATAATATCTTTTTGTTTTAAATTGCATTTGGTATAATTTTAACACTGGTCGTTTCTACCAAATGCCATAATCGCCAGTAAGTCGGTATAATGGCGGACAGTTTTTTTTTAAATTTTAAAATTCTGAAAACGTTCCATTGTTGGCCGGTGTTCGTAATTATATTGTTATCTTGATTTTAGATAAAACATTTTTACATGCTTTATTGGGAGGTGTCCTTCCGGTGTTGATATTTATTTATTAAAAAAAAAAAAAAACAGTTTGAAAATGTTATTGTGCGAAGATAAAGCGGTGCAATTTTGTATGCATGTAAATCCGTTTACTCGGCTTTTGATGTGAGATTATTTTTTTTTATAATTTTAAACATGACAATGCACTTCTATAATTGTACTTTGTTTATCATACTGTGATAGTTATGACACTTAGAAGACTAGAAAACATTTGATATATACATAAACTTACTAGCTGTCGACCGCGACTCCGACCGGGCTTAATTGAAAAAAAAAATGCCTATGTGTTCTTCCAGACTGTGTTCTACATCTATGCCAAATTTTAGCAAGATTCATGCAGCTGTTCCGGAGATACCTTCAAGCAAACATCCAACCATCCATCCATCTAATCAGTAATATTTATAATATTAGTAAGAAGTAAGATGAGTAGACATAATGAATAATTACGTTAGAAGTCTAACCGTTGCTGTCTCAGATCAAAATACCTGCAATAAACATATCGTCATCATCATCCTGAAATGTGATCTTGTTAATATACGTAATATCAAACACCGGCGGTTTTTTTAAGTAAATAAATCCGTACTTGACAAATTGACCCTATTTAATGTTAAGTTATGATGTAAATAAAATATGGTTAGTTTATCAAGATTCTTACGACTATTTGGAGTTTCTAATATCGTCTTCATCTATCTGCATTATATGTCCGTATTGGTATCCTTTTAGCGCCTAAATATCCATAACCGATGAAACTTCCTCTTATAATCTTATTTAAGATGTGAAAAGTTGCATACTTGGGCCATGTCTTCATCACAAAAAAAAACAAGCTTCGTCAACTCATAATGATGGGCAAAATTGCAGACAGAAGACAGATTTGGAAGCAAAAGAAAGTCGTGGTTAAGTAATATTTGGGAATGGACCACTATTACCAGCGTTGAACAACTTTGCTTACCAAAGGACAGCTTCGTTGAACTGACAGCTAACCTTCAGTAATGGAGAGTTATTAGATGATGTTAAAAACTATACAAAATTATCATAGAGAAAAATCAAAGCGCACAATCAAGTAGCATCGTAATAATGCTTTGTGTTTTTGTTTCAATATTAAATACTTCAAGCATTTCAACGCGACCATTTTCATTTAAGTCAACCAACCCGCACTTGGCCAGCGTGGTTGACTATGGCCTAGTCACCCTTAACGTAGGGTAGGCTCCGAGCCCCTCGGTGGGGACGTATAGTGAGCTGATGATGATGATTTCAACGCGAAAGTAAAGTAATAAAATCTAGACTAGACAAATCAATTTATCTATAATTCCAATAGAATCTCACTAATGAATATTCAAAATACCTTTTTCGATGTCGGTTAAAAATGCAAAATAAGTACATTAAAAAAGAAAGCAAATTACCAGAGCGCATGCTTGATTAACATTATAATTGTTTATTCAAGTAATGTTCGTTCATTCCTTAAACGGACGCCCACTTAGAAATCGAGAGAAGCGCGATCAGAATTATAAGCGGGAGTTCTGTATGTCGCAGAGAGGTAACAAATTTTGTAAGCTAAAATTTTGACATCATTTAAACTTAATGAATTATTAGGACTAATTAAATGGAAGCACTAAGCACTAAGGGAATAGGGAATGGACAGCTATTGCCAGGGTTGAACAACTTTTTTGTTTGGCACAGGACAGGTATGGGTTCGCTGAGCTGACGACCAACCTTCAGTAATGGAAAGGCATTTAAATTATTTATAACTGTTTTAAGCATGTTAAAATACTAGCTATCGCCCGCGACTCTATTCGCAAATAAGAAAAACCTTAATTAGTAGCCTTTGTGTATCCTATCAGATTATATTCTACATCTATACCAAATTTCAGCGGAATCCATTCAGCTATTCAGGCGATACCTTCAAATAAACATCCATCCATCCGTCTATTGCATTTATAATATTAGTAATTTGACAATAATGAATTTGCCGAATCGATGTCAAGATATATTATTTATAAACATATCGTTACATGTCACTAATATCTAGTAGGATTGTAAACTAACGAAGTTACTAATCTCTAGGTAACTTAAGTAGGTGTAGACCAAAGGAATTTAAACAATTACATTGCTTGATAATTACTATCGTTTGAAACAAAAAGTAACAATTGTACGCTCGACCTGTTTTATTATACGTATATATTTTAGAAACATAACAAAAACTATTACGAATGATAATAAAAATTATCAATACTCGATTAAAATTATCATTTTTAAATTTAAGCTCATATCTTTAATAGTGCAATTTACACAAATATACACTAGTTGTCGACTCCGAGTCCGATCGCGGGGAATAAACAAATAGTAGCTAATGAGTTCTTCCAGACCATATTCTACACATATGCCAAATTACAGCGAGATCCAATAAGCCATGCTCAAGATACTTTCAAACATCCATCCACCCATCCTTTTACCCAAACAGTCGCATTTATAGAGTTACCAGCTTTTACACGCGACTTCATCCGCCCGGAATAAAAAAAAATGAACCCTATTGTGTTCTTCAAGACTTTGGTCTCTATGCCGAATTTCAGAGAGATTCGTTTAGTCGATCCGGAGAT